GGTGTGGTGGCTCACACTTATAATCCCAGCACTTTGGGAGGCCTAGCTGGGAAGACATTTGGGGCCAGGAGTTTGAGACCAGCCTGGGCAACATAGAACTTAGTGAGACACCATCTCTGCAAAAAATAAACAAATAAATAAATTACATATATATGATTTTAAAAAGCTTTTTCCCTGTTTTCTTCTAGGAGTTTTACAATTTCAGATTTTATATTTAAGTGTTTAATCTATTTTGAGATGATTTTTGTATATAGTATAAGGGTTCAATTTCATTATTTTGTAGGTGGCTATCTAGTTTTCCAAGCACTATTTATTTATTTATTTATTTTGAGACAGAATATCTTTATTGCTCAGGCTGGAGTGCAATGGCACAATCATGGCTCATTGCAGCCAAAGACTCCAGCTATCTTCCTGCCTCAGCCTCCCAAGTAGCTGGGACTACAGGTGCACACCACCACACCCAGCTATTTTTTTTATTTTTTGTAGAGACAGAGTCCCAGTATGTTGCCTAGGGTGGTCCTGAACTCCTGGGTTTAAGTGATCCTCCTGCCTCAGCTTCCCAAAGGTCTAAGATTACAGGCTTGAGCCACTGTGCCCATCCCAACACCATTTATTGAAGAGGTTATCTTTCCCCTTTTGTGTATTCTTAGTGCCCTTGTCAAAAATTAGTTGACCATGTATGCTTGGGTCTATTTCCAGGCTCTTTGCTCTTTTCAATTGGATTATGTATTTGTTTTTATGTCAGCACCATATTGTTTTGATTACTATAGCTTTGTGATATAATTTGAAATCAGGAAGTGTGATGCCTCCTCCAGCTTTGTTCTTTCTCAAGATTGCTCTGGCTATGTGAGGTCTTTTGTGGGTTATATGAATTTTAGGATTTTCTTTTTTATTTCTGTGAAAAGTGCCATTGGAATTTTGATAGGGATTACATTTCATCTGTGGGTTGCTTTGGGTAATATGGATATTTTAGCAATATTAATTCTTCCAATCCGTGAACATTGGATATCTTTCACTTATTTGTGTCTTAAAGAACATCTTAATTCTTCCAGTTGCTTGGGCCAAAAACCTTGAAGTTATTCTTAACCTCCCTCTCTCTGTCACACTCCCCTTCTGACCCTTAAGTATCTCCTTGCCACTCAACCTTAAAAATCCACAATGACACTATCTCACCACTTCACTACCCTTATCTCACCTGGATATTGCAGCACTCTCCTCACGGGTAGTCTGTTCTCAAAACAGCAGCCAGAGGGATCCTTTTAAAACTTGTGAGATCACCTCCATCACCTGTCCCCATCTCACTCAGGTAAAGGCCAAAGTCCTCACTGGGACCCACAGAGCCTGCAAGAACCACTTCACCTCCTTCGCCTCTCTGACTTCATTTCCCCCCACTCCTCCTTGCCCACTTCACTGTCTAAAGGACTAAATCACTAATGGTAAAACTGTGCTCATCAGTGAGGAAGAGACTCTAGAGAAGAGTTTTGTTTTTATTTTTTAATGTATTGGAGTAAAAGTCACATGACATAAAATTGACCATTTTAAATAAGCATACAATTCAGCAGCATTTTAGTGCTTTCACAGTGTTGTACAGCCACCACCTCTATCTTCTTCCAAATTTATATATTTTTTAGAGGCAGGGTCTTGCTTTTTTACCCAGGCTGGAGTACAGTTACACCATCATAGCTCACTGCAGCCTCGATGTCCTGGTTCCAAGCAATCCTCCTGCCTCAGCTTTCTGACAGAGTAGCTGGGGCTACAGGTGCGTACCACCACCCCCGACTAATTTTTAAATTGTTTGTAGAGACAGGATCTCACTATGTTGCCCAGGCTGATCTTGAACTACTGGCCTCAATTCATCCTCCCACCTTGGCCTCCCAAAGCCTTGGGATTACAGGCATGAGCCACCATCCCCCACCAGTAGAGCCACTTTAGAAAACTGGGGTTTCTGGGAGCTAAATGATGAGAACTTATGAACAGAAAAAAGGAAACAACAGACACTGGGGTCTACTTGAGAGGGGAAGATGGGAGGAGGAGAGGAGCAAAAACGATCACTATTGGGTACTGGGCTTAATAACTGGGTGATGGAATGATATGTACAACAAACTCCCATGATACATGTTTGCATATGTAACAAACCTTCACATGTACCCCCAAACCTAAAAGTTAAAAAAATTAAAGAAAACTAGAGTTTCTTTTAAAAATTTAACATACATCTAAGCTATGAGCCAGCATTCCACTCCTAGATATTACCCAAGAGAGGCGAAAATATTTGTCCACAAAAATTTTGTGCTAAATTCAAGCTAGATTGTTCATAGCAGCTTTATTCATAGTAGTCAAAAACTAAAAATAGCCCTGATGTTCATCAACAATAGAATGAGTGAAATGCAGCATATTTATACAATGAAATACTACACACCATCAAGTAATGACTGACTGTCAGGCATGGTGGCTCAAGCTCGTAATCCCAGCTACTCAGGAAGCTGAGGTGGAAGGATCCCTTGCGCCCTGGAGTTCGAGGCTGCAGGGGACTATGATTGCACCACTGCATTCCAGTCTGGGTGTCAGAATGAAATCCCATCTCTAAAAAAAAAAAAAAGAAAGAAAAGAAAGAAAGAAATGATTACAGATATGCACAATATGAATACGGATGATTTTCTACTTTAATTTTTCAACTTTATGATCCTGTGAAAGAGATACACGTTCAGTAGAAACCGTATTTTGAGTACCCATATAACCATTCTGTTTTTCACTTTCAGTAAAGTATTCAATAAATTACCTAAGATATTCAACACATCACTATAGAATAGGCTTTGTGTTCGATGATTTTGCCCAGCTGTAAGCTATTGTAAGTGTTCGGAGCACGTTCAAGGTAGGCTAGGCTACGCTAGGATGTTTGGTAGGTTAGGCGTATTAAATGCATTTTTTTTAACTTTTTTTTTTTTTAAAGACAGGGTCTCACTCTGTCATCTAGCCTGGAGTGCTGTGGTATGATCATAGCTCACTGTAGCCTCTAACTCCTGGGCTCAAGCCATCCTTTCACCTCAGCTTCCCGAGTAGCTGGGACTAGAGGCTTATACCACCACGCATGGCTAATTTTTTAAAATGTATTTTTTTGGTAGAGGTGGGGTCTTACTATGTTGCCCAGGTTGGTCTTGAACTCATGACATTCAAAGCACATTCAAAGGGATTATAGGTGTGAGCCATTGTGCTTGGCCTAAATGCACTAAAATAATATTTTTTTTGTTGGTATAGTAGGTATATAGATTTGTGGGGTACATGAGATATTTTAATACAAGCATACAATGTGTCATAATCACATTGAGATAAGCATCTATCATTTCTTTGTGTTACAAACAGTCCAGTTATACTCTTGTAGTTATTTAAAATGTACAACAAATTATTGTTGACTGTAGTCACCTTGTGCTATCAAATACTAGATCTTATTCATTCTACCTAACTCTAACCATTCTACCTAACCATTGTCCCTTCCCCTGCCAAATGCAGTTTTGACTTAATGATATTTTCTATTTAGGATGGGTTTATCAGGATGTGACACCACTGCAAGTTAAGGAACATCTGTATACTGTCTGGTTCTATTCCCGTGAAATTTTAAAATAGACACAACTAACCTGTGGTGATAGAAATCAGATCTGTGGCTACTTCTGGGAAGAGGGTTGACTAGGAAAAGGCATGAGAAAACTATCTGGGATGATGAATTTTTTCTTTTCTTTTTTGAGACAGGGTCTTGCTCTGTCACCCAGGCTGGAGTGCAGTGGTGGGATCTCAGCTGACTGCAACCTCTCCCTCCCAGGCTCAAGTGATCCTCACACCTCAGCCTCCCGCGTAGCCAGGACCACAGGCATGTGCTACCACACCCAACTAACGTTTTGTATTTTTTGCAGAGACAGGGTCTTGCCATATTACCCAAGCTGGTCATTAACTCTTGGGCTCAAGTGGTCCACCCCCTTGACCTCCCAAAGTGCTGGGATCACCTGCTGGAAATGTTTTATACCTTGATATGCAGTCATCAAAGTTGACTGAATGCTTCAGATCTGAGCATTTCACTATTTGTAAATTGCTTTTTCCTAAAATATTTTCCTAGGCTGAGGTGGGCGGATCACTTAAGCCCAGGAGACTAGGCTGAGCAACATAGTCAGGCCCTGTCTCTATTTAAAAAACAAAACAAAAACAAAAACAAAAACTTAAAAAAAATTTTCCTGTGGGTCAAGACGTAAGCTATGTGTTTGAGACACATTATGTCATTTAACTTGTAAGCGAATTCATTATGGTAGATATTATTGTCTCTGCCTTAGAAAACTGAAGGGTTTTCCCAGAAGGGTTAAACAACTTGCCTCATTAAGAAAGGTGGGATTAAAACCCAGCACTATGACCCCAAAGCCCATACCTCAAGGGTTACCTCTTCTCTCTAACCCATTCTTTTCCCTAAGATTTTACAAAAGGGGAAATTGAGTCCCAGAGAGGGTTGGAGACATGCTCAATGCCACTTAGCTCTTTGGAATCAGAATGGAACTAGAACCCAGGTTTCCAGAGCTTTCTTACTGCATCCCACTTGGGCAAAGAGGTCAAACTCACTCCCACCTCCACCCAGCTGAGGTTGGGAGCTCAAAGTATAATTTTTAAGGACTTGAGTATAACATTCATGTTATGGGAGGCCCAAATTCAGGGCATAGATATCCTGTGACTTCAAAATGAGAGACTGTGCTTTCCATCTGTCTTTGTATTATTGGAGTTGTTCCAGGCTGGTTTTTGAATCATGGAGGCTTGCCATCCGCCCTGCTGCAATTATCACATTTTACACCCAGGATTCCTAACCAGACTCACCTATTCCCTCCCTCCATGGCTTTTTGGGTGGCAAGATTTCTAATCCAACACATTCCACAAGCTTCCCTCTACTTAATTTAAGAGGAGCCAGTATGAGTTTCTCATCTTCTCCTTGACACTCGGAGTTTTGACATGGATTCATGTCAGAACAACAAAACAGCCAATCAAATTTAGTTTTAACCCACATCCAGTCAACCAACAATAAGAGCGGCCGTTGTCAGCTTCAGCCTATCACATTGTTCAAAAAGTGATGTCGTCTCTTGTGTTGCTAGAAGGTACCATCTTGTGTTTTGAGAGAATTAGGCTTGAATGATGATAGATTCCTCCCAAAAAAGCTTTGGGAGGTTCTCTGGGAGGAAAAAAATACGTGTCCCAGCTTCTTTGGCCATCTTCTGCTAAAGAGAAATTTCGTTAAAAAATGCTGGCCTGGTGTGGTAGCTAATGCCTGAAATCCCAGCACTTTGGGAGGTCAAGGCGGAAAGACTGTTTGAGCCCAGGAGTTCAAAAGCAGCCTGGGCAACATGGCAAGACCCCAGCTCTAAAAAAAACAACCACCCAAAATTAGCCAGGCATGGTGGTGCACGCCTGTAGTCCTAGGAGGCTGAGAAGGGAGGATCACTTGAGCCCAGGGAGGTGGAGGCTGCAGTGAGCTGTGATGGTGTCACTGCCCTCCAGCCTGGGTGATAGAGAGAGACCAGGTCTCCAAAAAAAAAAAAAAAAATCTTTTCCTCCTCCTTAAAAGTCACAGAGTGTGTTTCACGGGCTGCCTTTTCTCTAGAACTGGCAAGTGGTGCTGTGAATGAATCACCCTGTTTCTTGGGAATGTTTCGCTCCCAGAGCTCAAGGGGGTACAACAAGATGATAAACAGCCTCTTGAAAGTGCTTCTCCTCCCCCCGCTGCGGGGCTGGGAGCCTGTGAGTTCATGGAACTGGACAGTGGCCGAGCTTTCAGAGACCGCTGAGTCCAACTCAGTTGTGCAGACCAGGAAACCTGGGCTTTCACATTTATGGAAAGGGAGCCAGGAGCAGGGCCGAGGCCATCTGAGTATGACCCATCCCCACTGCTGGCGGGCCTGTGGTTCGTACCCTCATCCCTCTAAGTTTCAGCCTCTTTCTCTGGAAGATGAGGGCAGGATGCCTGATGTTCCCTGTGGTTTCCTGTCATTTGGGGACCCTGAGTCTTTGCTCCTGTGTAGTCACCTGATAGAAACGCCAAATCTGAAATGTGGTACTTTGCTTCTCAAGCCAGAGAAAGATCCAGGCTTATGGCCCTTAGCAAGAGCCCAAGTGATTCAGTTCAGCTCAGGTGGGTTCAACAAATACACCCACACCCTGGCCCTGTTCAACCCCTATGCTGGGCACCGGGATGCCAGGTGGGTCAGATCCGGCTCCTGCCTCCAGTCAGTGGGGCTAGGCAGACGCACAGAAAGACTATGACCATAGGCTGTGGCAAGCCTGGGGGTAGTGGCCTAACCGGCTTTGGGAACACAGGCGAGGGCCTAACCAAGCCTAGGGGAGAGCCAAGGAAAGCCTCTGGGGGCAGGTAGCCATGCTGGAGGGTTCGCATCTGGCGGCACTGAGGAGGTGATGGACAAATGGGATGAGACCTTGGGCAAGGCCCTTCCCGTCTAGGCCTGGGTCTCCCCAGAATGCACTTGCAGGGGCTGGCGGAGGTCTCCCTACCTCTGGACTTCTGGGGTGGGGAAAGTGTTAATGTTCGTTGTGAGCTTGGAGGGCGCCTGTCCATGGCCAGGAGAGACTATCCTATCCTGGCACCCAAGGCTGTGGTCTTCTTCTTCTCCTGTAGGTCCAGAGTCCTCTGGGAACATAAGGGCGCTGCCCGGCAGCCCTCTCAGTTCTGACCGAGTCCCAGTGTGTGTGGGAACACCCCGAGCTGGGAGAGGGGAGAGTGAGGCACCCTGCCCTCTCCTGACCCCTGCCTTGTCTTCAGTCCATTGGAGAATTGCCACAGGCAAGAAATAGCCCTCGATAATACACAGGTTAACTCGGAAGTGCACAGCTGCTGATCAATACCAAAAATGAAATTCTTTTTTTTTTTTTTTGAGACAGTCTCCCTCTGTTGCCCAGGCTGGAGTGCAGTGGCATGATCTTGGCTCACTGCAACCTCCACCTCCCAGGTTCAAACAATTCTCATGCCTCAGCCTTAGAGTAGCCTGGGACAGCAAGCGTGCGCCACCATGCCTGGCTAATTTTTTTTTTTTTTTTTTTTCCGAGTCTGAGTCTGGCTCTGTTGCCCAGGCTAGAGTGCAATGGTGCGATCTCGGCTCACTGCAACCTCTGCTTCCCGGGTTCAAGCGATTCTCCTGCCTCAGCCGCCTGAGTAGCTGGGACTACAGGTGCCCGCCACCACGCCCGGCTAATTTTTGTATTCTTAGTAGAGACAGAGTTTCACCATGTTGCCCATGCTGGTCTCGAACTCCTGACCTCAGGTGATCTGCTCACCTCAACCTCCCAAAGTGCTGGGATTACAGGCGTGAGCCACCACGCCCAGACTCAGAAAGGAAATTCTTATTCTAAAGTGTCCATCTCTTTGACAAATCCCTGGAGTCTCTGGCCCTAGATGGGCAGAGGAGCATCCTGGGACCCTTTGTCCCTGTAAGCAGCGTCTGTCTGTCTCCTGCCCTCCCCAGCCAGGCTTAGCTCCCTCCACCTTCTCTCCTCCCACTCCCTCCAGGACATCTAGCAGTCCAGCTCCCACCTCTATTCCCCTGAAACCT